TACATGGAACGCCATAACCAGGTGGCTGGTCAAAATGGGAAACACCTCCGAAGGTGGTGGAGAATGAAAGCGAAGATCCTGTGGGACTGCCAGATACAGACTGGCAAGATGGTAATGGCGAACCAACCAGATATCGTGATCATAGATAAAGGGCAGAGGAAAGCCGTTGTAGTGGATGTAGCGGTCCCAAGTGATGGAAACATCAGAAAGAAGGAACACGTGAAACTCGAGAAATACCAAGGGCGCAGAGAGGAGCTGGAGGGAGTCTGGAAGGTAAAGGTGACAGTCATGCCTGTGGTGGTCGGAGCACTCGGGGCAGTGACCCCCAAACTGGATGAATGATTGCAACAGATCCCGGGAACAACATCGGACATCTCAGTCCAGAAAAGCGCAGTGTTGGGAACAGCAAGGATACTGTGCAGAACCCTCAAGCTTCCTGGCCTCTGGTAGAGGACCTGAGCTGAACGAGCGGACAGATACCACCCGATGTGTGAGACGAGGATATATATATATATATATTGAGAGAGAGCTGTCAGTTTAGCGCGTTTTTATTGGCATTAATTTAAATGAATTTTAACGGGATTAATTTTTTTCTCGCGAGATTAACACGGCACACGTCACAGCGGATGTTACGTTGCTCTATAAATAAACCAGAAACAAAACAACAAGTGCGCTGCACAGGTCCACGCACTTTTGTTTTGCCAGCCACGGCAGCGCAAGACACCGAAAACGGATATTTACGTTTACATGTTCTTACCGTGCCTGTATGGGTTTTCTCCTGGTACTCCAATTTCCTCCAATATTCCAAAAACACCCAAAGTAGGTTGATCGAACACTCTAAGTTGTCTAAGTTCTAAGGAGTGATTACAAATGCAAATGGTTGTTGACCTATGTGTGCACTGCGATTGGCTGGCAATCAGTTCAGTTTAGAGTGTACTCCACCTGCTGGGATAGGCTCTAGCACGATCGCAACCCTCATGAGGAAAAGGGGATCATAGAGTGGTTGGATGGATGGATGCAATTTGCCCTTTTGTTATCATTTCTTATAAAATGGAAACAAACATTCGAGCGCGCTTTGGTGCCATGTTTCTTCATTGCCACTTGAGCAAATTACGTTGCTATGCAACGTGTGTGGTGATATCATTCACTCCAACTGGAATTGAGCGGCGAATCCTTTACAAGTATGGCAAATTATGCCAAGGAATTGAAACTTTGGGAACTGGTTTTCAATTCTCATCCCGAGGAGAGAAATAAAATTATTGATTTAGTCAAAAAGAGGTCAAGATCTTTGACTGCAGTCTCTCGCTCAATTTCAAAATCATGGATCGATAAGAAATATTTTAATAGTGCCAGGCTATGACACTGGAAGAAATTGAACAATCGGAGCAATCCTTTATTATTGTTTAACAGCCCCATAGTCTTTTTTCAATTTACACAAGTAAACGTTAATGCCATGGTTTTGGCCACAAGGGTGGAGATATATATTACAAAACTTGTTCATAATGACCAGACGGTTTTATCAAATCCTGTTTATTATAGGCCAACATATGCCGGCTCCTACACATTATCCACGCAGCTCGTTATTCTGATTCACCATGCGCTATACTATCCTTAGATGCTGAGAAAGCTGTTGACCACTTGGTTTGGATTATTTATGGATAGTCCTGGAAATATTCTGCTACAGTTCCAATTGTATTAAACTCACTAAATTGCTTTGCAGCAATCCCTCCATTGTAATTGTCACAGGCCGTAATGTAGTTTCTCAATTTCCTGTCTCACATTCTTGCCGTCAAGAATGTTCTTTTTCCCGCTATTATGTGCCCTTTACTGGATGCGCCTTTACTGGAGCGACTAGCAAAATCTATCACACGTCATTCGCTGATCTGAACTATTATTTATCATCATACGGAAAACTTCATAGCTTTATATGCCGATGACATGATTGTTCACAGGTCGCACGCCCTCTTCTATTCCACATATTCTATACACATTCAGTTATTTCATCTTAATTTCTGATAATAAAATTAACAGCTCTCAATCCTCATTGCTCCCATTAAATTTGAAATTAAACCGCTTTTCACTGCCCCCTGACATACCCATCGTAAAACACTTAATATTTGGGCATCGATGTCTACCTTTCTATGCCAATCATATCAATGGAAAAAAAAATAGAAAAATAAACTTTGGGCATCCATAATCCTTATTGAGCGGTATCTTGAGAGATGGTGACATTCTCCACATTTGTTACAGACACGTATTTCTATTATCAAATTGGACATTTTGCCCAGCATGAACTTTTTTTCTTCCATCGTTCCATTAGCCCCTCCTCCCAAATTCTGGAAAAAAAGCTTCACTCCACAGTTTCTACATCTACTGTATATAGAAGGGGAACCATCCCCACATTTAAATGACCATGTTGCAACATTCATGGTGGTCTTTCCAAAGTTAACCCTGTCATGCCTGACCCTTCAAGGAATAGCCAGAAAAATCAGATTTTTGGGAACTGAGATGTTGAAAATATTAATTTAGGTCTCATGTTCTTTGTCCTATCTCAGTTTGATTAATTCCCAACAGTTCGGTCTCTTGGACCCTCCACCAAAGGCCTCAGAATCTGATACATTCTACAATATCATCGAAACATTCAAAACAAAGACTAAGTCCAATAGTCTTATATCTTCTTGCTGTCTGACACGCTTTTTTTTTAATTAACTCCACTGCTTCTGTAGGTAAAACTCCATTCACTTTCCCTAGTTGCAGTGAGAAGTTTCCATGTTTTAAACAATCATTTTTACATGAAAATAACCTTCATTCGTTGTATAACAATCTTACAATCTGCGTGGCTTTCCTTGCTTTTGATACTTGCATTGGAGGTCTTCCATGTGATCCAATCAGGTCCCATGGAACACAAAGCTCACCTCTCACACTTTGCATACTATTTTGAACAAAAGCGGTCAAAACGCATGATGCCGATTCTGTATTCTCAGTTTTTATTGTCATCATATTTATCTTTCGATTTTGATAAATATGGTTAAGAGATTGAAATGTATCCATTAATTATAACTCATTTGAGCGAAAATCTGGAAATCACTTGTTGAATGCTCAAGGAATTCTGATCACCAAAAAAATTACGGTACGTTGAACTTTTTACATAGTATTGACCTTATTCCAAGGAAATCGTGTAGGATGAAGATGATATTTTCTCCAAAATGTGACCTCTACACGAGGGTGGTCCATTTTGGAAAAGTTTGTCGGATTCGTCGGGCCGGGTCGGAAATCTTGTCGATACTATGACACAAGGATGTGTGCAAAATTTTATTCCGATCGGATAATTTTATCCCGTCCCGCAGAGCGACCAAAGTTTCCCCTATGGAAAGAATCTTACGGGGCTGAATGGTAGTACGGTTTCTCCCGTACAGTAAGGATTTTGTTTTGCTCAGTTCGCACTTGCAATAATTCAAAGACGGAAGACAGGAACGCATGTATTGCAAAAAAGGCAACCGTGGTTATCCTTCAACACTGGTGAGATTGTTGGTCCATGTTAACTGGTCCATCTGTCTATCTGTCCATCTGTCTATAATGTCCATCAACACTAGTGACACTGTTAGACCGCAAAAAAAAAACGAAATCCGCCGTGCGTGCCATCCCATGCCTACTTCGCGCACCGGTGCAACGCCCGGTGTCGCTCCACGACCTGCAGAAGGTGCTGTCGCTGTTCCTCGTCGCGCGTGATGGCGCCGCAGAACGCGCTGATGAGGGCGACGCCCCTCTCCGCAAAGTCGTTCACCACCCGTAGGTGACGAGCGCGCCGACGAGCCGTGGTGAAGTCGTCCCTCTCCGACCACTCGGCCGGATCGACGTTGAGGAAATCGTGGCCGGCTCCGAGGGCGGTGATGAGGCCGACAGAGTTGGTCGTCGCAAACGACGCCAGCGAACGCTGCTCCACTGCCTCGAGGGCGACGTGGGCACGGCGAGGCGGGTTCTTCTCTTGATTAGCTCCAAGGTGTCCGCGCGTTCGATGTCGAAAAGCGTCCTCAGCTCAGCGTCCAGTAAGAATTCCGGCGATTCTCGACTTCAATTGAAAGATATTAGCTCGCCAGTAGGTGACCGTTGTGTGTTAGGCGTGCGTTTGAGTTTGTCTCCGGCTGCTGAGAGCAGCGATGGAATGGTTAGTTAGTCAGGAGGTGATCGTTCGGGCAACATTCAGCCCAGCCAGTGTCACGCATGCCAAACAGGGCACGGTTAAAATACACATGTTCACCCTATTGAGACCAGTTGTTATGGTGGAAACTTTGGCCGCTTTGCGGGACGGGAAAATATCATCAGATCGGAATGAAATTTTGCACAGAACCTTGTACCATAGTATCGACAAGAATTCCGACCCGGCCCGACGAATCCGACAAACTTTTTTTTTTGCCATGAAAATGTGGACCACCCTACTCTACACTGAAGGACATGTAGGAACATATTGACTGATATCATGAGCCTGTGACTCACTTTTAGAAGGTGGTATATTGTCAGTTATGCTAGGAAGAGTTTTAGCATGCACTCCTAAAACTATATTTGTAAATGACTTTCATTTTCCACAAACGGCTGGTTGCAAGGCATAGGCAGGCTGTAAGGTGACCGTCGGTCATTGTTGATCTGTACTTGAATTTGATGATGTTCATCTGCGAGAAAGCAGACTCACGTTGATCCAAAAAGAGCTGTCAGATTCAAAGCACATCTTCTGAGATTGAGATGCTTCTCTGCCACCAGTGCTTTCCAGAACACTACATGCTCTCCAGGTTGAGCAGATGTTGATCTGGCTTCAATCTCAATGTCATTTTGCAATGTCAGAATCTCATCTTCAAGAGTGGAGCTTTCAATGTCAAAAAGTGATTTCACTTTGTCGGCAACGTCACTGTCAATACTTGCACCAAATGGATAACACATATAGCTGGAGATAGTCTCGATGGATGCGAAGTCAGTAAAGTGCCTCTCAAACTCTGGCAAGATACTATGAACATGCTCCTCATAACATGCACTGTCAAGCTGTGTCACACCTTTGCCTTCACGTTGTAGTTCTGCTTCCACGTGAGGGATGTTGCACAGGTTACCAAGCCGCAGCCTGTTTGACATCAGCTTTAGCTTGCTTTTTAACATGCTTGTCACGTTGCGAGCGAAGCGGAAAGGACACGCTTCATACGCAACAAAAATGAGAAAAATAGGATTCCCGAAACAGCAGACACCAACAAGATCTCCGTACAAAAACATTTTTTAACAAAAACCGCACCGCAGAAAATAGACAACAGAAAACGCTGGTCAAAAACGAGTACCAGGAAAACACGCAAAAAACCCGATAACAAAAAGCGCTTGCACACAAGGCAAGGAAGAAAATAAACTCGATACTATTACCCACGAAAATGGGACAACACCAAAAGAGCCGATGTATAGAACTAGTGCAATAATACGAGAGCGAGAATACCGACACACGGGCAAAAGCAGTGGCACGGCAAGCAATTCTCCGGCAAGGAAGAGCCAGATAGACAGTCCTAATAAAACAGGTGCATAATGACAGATAAGTAGCAGGTGTGCAGCCAGCAAGAGTGCACCGCCCACCACCTGCTGTCGAAAACGGAACATGACAGTGCTCACTGAATTCATCATGTTGACGACATCTTTACCCTTTCCCTGCAGCTCTAAATTCAATTCATTGAGCTCGCCGGAGAGATCAGTTAGGAAAGACACATTTAAAAGCGACTGGTGGTCCTCAAGCTTTTTTATGGTAATCCACATGTTTTGAAAACCTCGGGAAGTCCTTGATTTCAGGCAACAGCTGCGTAAATCTGGCCAAAAATTTACCTCTGCTGAACCACCTAACATCTGTGTGAAGCAGCAAGTCTGTGTGCTCAGCATCATTCTCCTCCAAGTGAGCACGGAAAAAAAGCCTTCTCTGCAGACTCCTGGCCCGAACTTAACACACAATTCTCATTGCAACATTCATCACTTCTTTCATAGTGCAGATCTTTCCACACAACACTGTTTGAATGACGCAATAATAAGTCGGGATATCTGTGAAAGATTCACTCTCTTTGCAGAGTGCAAAGAACCCAATGGTGCGGCTCACCATAGATGGTGCCCCATCACTTCTGAAAGAGATCAGCTTGAAGAGCGGCAGTTTTGTCCCGCTAACAAATCCCATGAAACCATTAAAAATATCCTCACCCCTGGCGTGTCCTTTTAATGACACAGTGGTGAGGAGCTCTTCATTGGTGCTCATGTCTTGAAAAGACATTCTGATGAAAAGACACAATTGTGCCACATCCACCATGTCAGTCGACTCATCAAATTGGAGGGAAAAGCAGTCGCATGCATCACTATCCTTCCTGAGTTGTTCCTCCACATCCACAGCCATTCCCTCATATCGCCTTGTAGCAGTACTGCGGGAGAGTTGTTCTCATTTAATGGCGTCAGTGATCTTTGTTTTCTTTTTAAAGTGAATTAAAAGGCAATTCACTGCCTCGAGAAAGGCTTCCTTCATAATATTGCCGTCTTTGAATGGCTTGTTATATTTGGCAAGGACTTGACTGACCTGATACGAAGCAATAGTTGCGGCCTTACACTGCGTCTTCGGTTTGGTGAAGATTGACTTCCGTGCTGCAAACTGTGTTTTCAAATCCCGCACTATTGTGGCACGTAAAAGTGTTTTTGCAAGGAAATCCCTCTCACAGCTCCTGTGTACCGTTTTGAAATGCCACTCCAGATTCCCTTTCTTTGCCAATGCCACCGTTGCATTGCAAATCAAACAAAAAGGCTTTGGATGAGAATAAATAAAAAAAATAATGTTGCTCCCACTCAGGGTGAAAATGGTAGGTCTTGGCTCGTTTCCCCTCAGCCACGTGGACATTGATGGGTGTGTAACCGCGGTGATCGCGAAATGCTCGCTACTGCTGACAGCGGCCAACTTCCATAAGTGTTACCAACTCATCAGTCAGGAAAATAGCAATTGACTGCCCTAAGAGTCACTAAATGATGCCATCAGGGTGTGTGATTTACTTGGGGGATGTTTTTTTTTTCCTTCTCTTTTTTTTCTTTTGTATTTGTTTTTTCTTTTTTTTAGTTTATTTTAGACAAAGAAGCATTTACATCCAGCCCTGACTGTAAACCTAGCGGGATCAGCCAGCAGCGGCTTCATTTGGAGGAGGGGCCACAGCAGCACCAGGTGCTGCTCATTGAGAACAGGCTTTGCAATGTGCTTTCACACCACAGATTCCAAAAGTCTCCAATGACACCAGAAAGTCACTAGATTGTCGCTCGTTGCTTTTGTGAAAAAAAAAAAAAAAAAAAAAGATTTGCTAGAGGGGATCTGAATACTTGCTAAATATAGCTTCAAAGTCACTAAGTTGGCAACACTGACTTCCTGTCATGTCAAAAACTTTTTTTTCCCCCTACACACCTTGCGGTCGCCTTGGGATCAGTCCGTGGTCTATCAGTAGACTGGTTTGGGCACATCAGATCGAGTGTGATCTGTCATATTGAAGGGGTCATAACATACTCCATTCCAATATACAATAATAATGACAGTAATGATGATGGCAATGATGATGATAAGGGTGAAGCGGATGAAAGGACGTGGCTGGGTGGGGAGTGATTGGTAGATTTCTGGCTTGGAACTACACCAGAAAACAGACTGCTGTTTTCTATTGGCCAAGACCAATTTACAAATACTCGGGAGAACCATCCATCCATCCATTTTTGACACCACTTATCCTGAACAGGGTCAAGGGAGGTGCCTGAGCCCATCCCAGCTGACTTCAGGCGGAAGGCAGACTACACTCTAAACTGGTCGACAGTCAGTCGCAGAGATGAACAAGCATTCACACCAACATCCACACCGTCCGGCACTGAGTGAGAACCGATCCCATGCTGCCAGCACCCAAGTCATTCAGGTGTACCACTACACCATCAGCGACTACTCGGGAGAAGCTCTTTGAAGAAATGCTGAGGAAGGCTTAGTCTGTGAAACCACATCCTCTAAAAATGTAAAGGAAAGAGCTTCAAAAGAATTAAACACTGCTGAACATGGAACATAGAGCGAGGGGTCAAATGTGCTGTTTGAAACAACAGTCTTAGCTTATCAATGACAAATTGCAGGAATTTATTGCACATTTTGCTCAGACAAATGTCTGATCAACTAGGCTGAGAGGGTTTAAATACATAATCGGTAGTTTTAAATAGTATACGTGGGTTGTGACACTTAGCCTGAATTAGGTTTGATTAATGTTCCCTTTATATATATATAATTTTATTTTTTTTCCCAGCAAGAAAATTTGAAAAGCCATTCAAAAAGTCCTTATTGTATTTTGGAGACAGACACAGCACTCCATTAACTTATATACTTCTTGCCACTTCCTTTACACAACGTCATGTTACTCTCAGTATTGCACTGAGGCATCTCTTCATTTAGTTTAACAAAGTTAAGCAACACTTGTGATCGGCCCAAGTTACACCCGTGCAATGTGACGGCAATTTCTGCTTCCGGTGGGTGTAAGAGGGGGACTGTTACAGAACCAGAAATTTTGTCCTCACAGAAACTGTGCTGTAGTTTTCGGTCAATAGCAAGTACAAAATGTTAGCCCACTGACTTGGATAAAAAGAAGTGAGATTTTCTGCTTAATTGATCTGGTAAAAAAAAAGGTAAAATTAATCTGACTACCATGTTTAGACGAGTGTGTGTGCATAGAATGTATGTTTGTAAAGTCATTTCTTTTAAAATTAACTTCCCCTTTACATATTCCCGCTGCATAATATATTTCCTTTCCTTTCGTAAAGGATGGTCAGAACATTTCCTAAGCATCATTAGAATTCAGAAGACCTTAGCTCCAGGTGCTACCGGCTCATCTCACTCGGATAGGATCGGAAAGGAAAGTTCCTATGCCAAAATGATAATCCAAAAAGGGCCCCTGTTGGTGGATAATCAGGCATCATTTTGGTGTACCAAAGGGTGTCTTTATACAAGGGCTGAATGAATTTAGGAAAAGGTTGATTTTTTTTTTTCTGACAGATATTGTGACTTCAATTCAATTCACAATTTTTTCAAATCAAGCTTTAGTACAATACTGAGTATCTGCAGTAACTTTTACAAATACAGTATGAAAATAAAATCACACGATCAAAAGCTTGAAAACTGTGACTAATGATGAAGAGACATGGAAGAGGCTGTGTGAGGGAGGCAGTCCTTTTTCAAGGTTTTTAAAATGGTTCAATAAAGCAAGACCTATTGCCTGTCATTATACATGTATAAATATGCAAAGTAATAATGTATACAAAATTAAACCAAGTGTTTTAGATTTTAAACTAATGTACATGATATTTGAGCAGAAATGTAAGATTATATGTAAAAAATAAAATAAAATAAAAATATTTTTGTCAAAGAATTAATTGCTTTAAACAGAGACTGAGGGCTTAGTAATTTGAGGTGAAATTCCTCTCATGGAATCCAATCACAGTAATCACGTGTGTGAAAGTGTAAAAATCACAGTGGAAGCATTTCTGAATGAGTATGGATTAGAATAAATAATAAACAATAAAGACTAATGTAAAGTATTCTCTCTGCTTCTTTTCATTCAGATTTTGCTTTTTGATGTAAACATGCCCGTTTTTTTTCTTTTATGTACTTAAATCAATTTTACTAATAAAACAAAGCAGAGTCCCTTTGCAAAGCAAAATTGATAAACATATAAAGAGAGAATAATCGACCTGTGTGGCAATGTCAAAACCTAATAACCAAAGAAACCTACTCTTAACTACTTAACTCCCCTATTCAATTCTTGCCTCTTGAGTTGGAAATACAGGACTCTCATCGACACGACATCCAAAGCTACTGACTCCAATAGAAATATTTTCAGGCATGATTTCCAGACCAAATAATTTGCCATGACTTTTCTATTCACAGTTTTCACTGTCAGTGCTACAGCAGTGAACGAATGCAGAAGGAATCTACCTATTGGATCCAACCAACCTCACTCCAAACGAGTGTGTGACTTAATAATAAGTAATCATGTGAAAATAAATAGAATTATCAGGGAGTAAGCCATTTTACCAACTGATATTATGAAGAAGTCAGGCAGGTAAGGCATCTACATCTCTCGTGTTCTGCTTTGCTCACTTTCTGTACTTGCCATCAAGTATTTGTGCTTTGTATGTGCATCGCAAACCGGCTGAGCTTGTAACTTTTCCACCCTCCCTGAATTCCCCCTGAGTCGAACCTAACAGGGACAATACCCATGTGAGAAAATAGTCAGTTAGTGATTTATCTTCAACTGTCTTGCCAGTTTCCCTTTCACAAACACCATTTCTACATTTAAGGGACTGATAAATCACATGCTGAGCAAATTACAAAAAAACGACACTCACCATTGTCCTCTCGCTCTCTACATATAGACAGACATATACATTCTCGCTCACTCTCTCTCTCCATCTCCTAAATATACATCCTAAACTCACACGCACGCAGACTCATACATACTAATTTACATGCAAACTTTTCTTTTTACTTGGTGACATCAGGCCTTCATCATTAATTTTAATGACCATCAGTAAGCAATAATACATTAGTGTACACATCCACACAGCAAGAGGCGCCACTGATCCTGGAGAGCAATTATAGTCTGCACTTTGTTTATTATCTTTTATGATAGGCAAGGGAGTGTGTGTGCGTGTGTGTGTGTGTGTGTGTGTGTGTGTGTGTGTGTGTGTATGTGTGTGTGTGTGTGTGTGTGTGAGAGCGAGCATGTGTGCATGTGTTAGGGAGAGAGAGCGGAGACTGTTCTCTTTGAACTGCTTCCCCAGTCTGAACGGTTTGACACAATAAAGTCCTTTCAAAACAAGAAATATTGAAGGCCATAAATCTGGCATTGATGGTTAGACCTTTTTCATTTGTGTTTTGCAGGAACTCTTAAATGGGTGGGCACAAAATGGTAGAAGAGTGGCAAGCAAGTTGCAGTTTTTATTATACAGTATTGTATCTTTGTATTTTGTGGTGCAGTATGTCAATACTTGATTGAGGATTCTCATCATAAAAACAGGAGCGACATCAGACTGAGGGGGTTCTCCAATTATGTTGCTCACGAGAGGTTTGGGGCCTTCTTTTTGGGTACCTCAACAGTTCTTTGGAGACGGACCCGTCTGGTCAACAGTCCTAATTCCGAAGCCCATATAACGTTAATCCATGTTTTAAAAACTATGACGGGCTTCAAGAAATGTCCATCAAACAACATGCCACTGTTATAGATCACACAACTGCTGTTAGCATTTCTTGTTTGTTTGTTTTTTGTTTGGAAGAATAAAAAATTAATAAATCAATGTAAAAAAAAAAACGAACTCATGAGGTACAATAAATAGTTTTGTTTCTTTTTTTTTTCCAGGTTCGAATCTCAGCTAGCGTCTTTCTGTTTGGGGTTTTCAAGTTCTGCTTTTGCTTGTGTGGGTCTCTCTCACATTTTTTAAAACGTGCATGCTCATCTGAAGACTGGTTTATAAAGCCAGATTTTAATTTTTTTCGGCATACTTCCAAAACTTGAGAGACCTTACACATGAAGATTAAAAAAAAAAAAAAAAAAATCACGGTTATAACAGTTTTGAACATAAGGTGTGTGCAGCCACATGGCAAAATGAACACATCATGGACGAACCAATTT